CTCACATGAAACCTGCTATTCTAAAACAATATATTCACTTGCAACTCAGTGTGAAAACGGGTGGGATGTCTCACTGAGACCTATCAGACTCTAGCCTAAATAATGAACTCAGAAGAGCATAAGTGGCCATGCAGCTTACTGGGTCTATGGGGTAAATGTATCTCATCCATTTTCCAAACAAGTCTATCCTTTGGTTTTTTCCCCTCTAATCTTTGCATCTTCCTTTTACTCTGTCTCTCATTCCACTGAACTAAATTGAGTCACCTTCTTGGAACATTACCTGATTATTTAAGTCCCCATTAATGCTTTCCTCCTTAGATATTCCAGATCAATTATATGCCCCCCAAGGTTTAGTCCTTTGCTCTCAATAAATGTGCTCTTTCCATTTCATACCACACGAACACATAAGGTACACACGTTCATTCACAACTCCCAAATGCATACTGAGGAGGAACCTGGTAGTGCGGTGGTTACGCACTGGGATGTGGACTCTAAAGTGAGCAGTTCAAAACCACTAGCTACTCTTCAGGAGAAATATGAGGCTTTCTACTCCCACAAAATGTTGCAGTCTCAGAAACTTCCAACAGTTGTTCCACCTGGAGCCAGAATTGACTCAGTCGCGGTGAGTGTTGAGCTTAGAAAGGTCTACTGAAATGACTTCCACCATAGAAGATAACCGCAGTAAAGCCCCCCAAAAGGGAGGGGGAGCGCCAAAGTCGTCTCCTTTTGTGTCTCTGGTTTATTTTAAGCATCCTATGATATACAAGATCACCTGGTTAAATCAGAGAAATCTCAATTTTCCAGATATTTTCATGTTTTAATCATCTCTAAACTATTTAATAGTCCAAAAACATTTGTCTCTTTAACCTAAACTCTGCAGAAAAATATAAATGTCTTTCAATTTTTTTTCTGAGATAAAAAAGGTAAATTGAAGAAGAAAGATTTTTTTTCATTTTAGATGTTTAAAAAAAGCCAACGATTTTTAAAATACATTGATTGCAAAGCTTGCTTTCTTTACATTTATTATTAATTGGGAGTTAATACATATAGCATATCATTCCATAGTTCAAACACATCAAACAGAATTGTACAACTGCTACCACAATCGGTTTCCAAACATTCTTTTTCTTCCTTTTACCGGCACCCCCACACCCCACCACACCCCAAAATTGTGAAGTTTTATCTCCATTATTAAGCACATCAATTGCCACTAAATATTTAATTAATCTACTCAACAAATATACTTGATTATTTCCCAATGTTTAACTCATCCTCGTCTTTAACAGCATCTGTTATCAATCCAGTCTACTTCACAAGCCTTTTAACCTTCAAATTAGATTATTTAAAGCTATCTGAATAGATAATACTGCTTCATACCCTCAAGATCATATTATACTTCTCATTTTATAAGGTTTTTCCCCTTCCTTTTCACCTTATTGAGAGCCCTGGTGGCATAATGGTTACGCGTTGGGCTGCGATCCGCTTCGTCAGCAGTTAGAAACCACCAGCAGCTCCAAGGGAGAAAGACAAAGACTGCGCTTTCTCCTCCCATAGCCCGTTCCAGCCTTGGATGCCCACAGGGGGCCGCTGTGAGTCAGCATTGACTCCTTGGCAGTGACGTTGATTGGTTGCTTTCTTCTTATTAACTCACGTGTTCCAGCTGCATGTGATGAAGCAGATCATGTTCACTAGAGAATCTTCAGATGGCCTTTCTGAACTGTCAGTTTACTTCTCGGTTTACTTTTATGTCATCTTTTTATCTGGCCGTTCCTACTTGCCTTTTGGTTCTAAATTTAGATTTCACTTCTCCTTAATTGCCTTAGAATCCATTCCAATTCGTGGTTTTATATATACATAATACATAATATGCATATATAACAGATATGCAATACTATATGTAGTATAGTGTGTGTGTGTGTGTGTGTGTGTGTGTGTACTATGTATGGAAGAAAACCTCGTTTACTAAGTAGTGGTACTTTTAAAAAATTATTTCCTCACGAGTAGATATTACACTTTATTCCTGTCAGATGCCCTCTACTTTACACAGTAGCTGACACTAAGTGACCAAAATATGATTAATAAGACAGCAGGTGCTTTTCAATATTTGTTGAAAACTAGAGTAACTATGTCCTCATACAACTTTCTGGCTGTGGAAAACCTAACATTATAACTCCAATGTGTTTTTGGCTAGAGAATTCTCACCAAGTATTATTGCACATGGCACACCAATATCCAATCCTGTTTGTTGAATGACCTAGACGGGCCATAAAGACAGTCAACCGGCCCCTCACCCCCCTCAAAAAAAGAGAAACCCTTCACTGTCATCTCGTGGATTCCAACGCTTAGCGACCCTGTCTGACAGGGCAGAACTACCCCTGTGAGTTTCCAAGACTATAGCTCTTTACAAGAGTAGAAAGCCTCGTCTTTCTCTGGCCAAGTTGTGGGTGGTTTCAAACTGATGACCTCGTGCTTAGCAGCCCAACGTGTAAACATTACGCTACCAGCGTACCTAAAGAAGGTACAGTGAAGAAAATGTCTAGAACTCATTTATATTCCTTGCCTTTCGCTTTAATAAATGTTGCCCTAAAAATGACTGAATTGTAGGCATCTACCCAGCACTGCACCACGTAAAATACGTACGAGAGGGATTGCTGCTATTTTGATTGCAGATTCGACACTGGGGGTTCCTTACAGGCTGTCCAGGCACGTGCTCGACCAATTTGCAGTACATTTCAGGTCCTTTTTCACCGCATGTCGCATTGGTGGTGATGAGAGCATTAGAGGCGAGATTCAACACGGCGGGAAATAAACCTAAAGAGATGGACAGACATATATGTGTTACAAACAAGTGGCATGACTCGGTGCATTTTAAAATGCAATTAAGATATGATATTTATCACATCATTCAATTAATTCCAAGTGCAATAATTATGGAATACATAATTCAGTAAAGTACATAAATACCAGGTGACATCAAAAGAACATTTCTCTCTCTTTTTTAATCATTTTACTGGGGGCTCGTACAACACTTATCACAATCCACACATCCATCCATTGTGTCAAGCACATTTGTACATTTGTTGCCATCATCATTCTCACAACATTTGCTTTCTACTTGAGCCCTTGGTATCAGCTCCTCATTTTTTCCTCTTCTTCCCCACTCCCCACTCCCTCATGAACCCTTGATAATTTATAAATTATTTTCTTCATATCTTACATTGCCTGACGTCTCCCTTCACCCACTTTTCTGTTGTCCGTCCCCCAGAGAGGAGGCCATATGTAGATCCTTGTAATCAGTTCCCCCTTCTACTCTCAGGATTTTGCCACTCTCACCACTGGTCCTGAGGGGTTTATCTGTCCTTAAATCCATAACATAAGACTATCTGTTTAACTTATTAGCATCAAATATTTAATTAGAAAAAGGTCTGGTCTAAACCATACACCTCTAAAAATTCTGTGTTCATTCTATTGGCAAAAGACATATAGCATCTTCCAATGACCTCTTTCCATCTTCCATTTCAGTCCATTGTGTCAATTAATTTAATTTAGAATCATATTTGAAGTTCTTTCAAAAGTATGTTTGTCATCGTTATTTTTATGCTCCAATTATCATTTAGCAAACATGGTTGTTATGTTCATTTATATTGACACTGGCAAAACTAAAGAATGTTAAAATTTTGAAAACTTATCTTTAACTTCCCTCTGTATTATAAAGTTACAGTATGCAGCAATATCTTACAGAATTAAGTCATCATAATAGTCAATAATCCAATCATCATATATTGTTAGTTACATTAATTGAAAGTAATACAATAAAATATCAGAGGCCAATTTCTTTGAAGAGTTAGAAGTCTTTAATTACTCATGAAAACTCAACTCATACTGTTTACATTCCATAAATTTGTTAATTCTGTGTCATACAATTCATCTGGTAGAGCTGTTTCATAAACAATACATCACAGTCAATCATTAAAAGCCCCTCTTGAACTGAAACGTTCCTTTTGAAGAACACATGCATTAGAGCATACATAGTCTGTCACAGTTTATCTGAGGAACATGCTAATAATCTGTTCTATCAACTCAGCACTTGAGCCAACTAGGTGTATATCTAGTTAGCCTCTGGAGAAAGTTTTAATTTTTTACTGAGATACCTACAGATTTGCACTCATATAAGCATTTCACCTTATCTTTGGAAGTCAGTGTATACTGTTATTGTAAGAATGATGAAGATTAGTCTCATGAAACATTTTTATCTATCATCTGCATAAGAATAATGATGATGGTAGCCAGTACTAATTTATGTTTACAATGTACCAGGTATTATTTTGCATTGACTAATTTATGACTCACAAAAACCAATACACCAATCCTATTTTATTAAGAGAGCACCGAGATAGTAAGTAACTTGCACAGGGTTAGTAACCAATCTGTGGTTTGAACTAAAACAGCCTGGCTCTGTAGTCTAGCCTGTTCGCCTTTACATTTTATAGTCTCTTCAATCTTATATGAAACCTATATAAATCTAGTGCTAGGTTGTGAACCTGGGTGACCTTAGACTTGCATTGGAAGAAACAATCATACAGAAAAATAATTAAAAATATGAATTCTTATTGTAATCAATCTCGAAGTTGCCAAAGGAGTAAGTAAATTCACAAAACCAAGCAACATCTCAGCTCTAGTCTCAATCACTCCCAGGGCCTCCCAAGCAAAAATAGAAGCTGTGCTTAATCTTCTTTCCCTTCCTCCCTCCCCACACTCGCAATCTTTACGTGCCTTCTGATACTGCTGCCTCAGTCCGGTCATTAATCATCAGCCTTCGGATTTTGTGTTCTGCTAATAGTTGTGGTATAGTGGGTTTCAAGTTTTTCCTCTGTGCCCAGATCATTTTTTTAGTATTAAATTGCAAGTATTAACTCATTCATTCTTCCTGATTTACTTCCACTATCATCTCTACCCTCAGCAATCCCAGTTTGGAGACATTCTGTAGATGGGGGTATAAGATCTCTGGTCAGAAAATATTACCTATTCATAAAACTATTTTTATTTATTTTGTAAGAAAACAGAGTGATTTTCAAGGCTATTGTCCTTTTTTATTTTGCTTTATCTGTGTATACAGGAAATTGTTTTTAAAATAATTCAAACAGCATTTCAACATTTTCAGGTTATAGATTTAAAAATAATTAGATTGTCGCCAGATAATTATCCCTATACCTCAGACCTTTTATTATCTAAATTGGTAAATATTATGTTATTAATATGCATGTTTCTCTCTTGTCTTCCACATCAGCATTTTGTACTTAAGTCGACAGTTATTCTTTCACAGAATTTGTTATGAGGACGTGTGCATTCAGGAAAACCGTAACTGTAAGCTGTAGGAAGAAAAGACTGTTAAGATAAGCTTGATGCAGGAAGTGGTCTCGAGTTCAATCTTGAAAAGCAAACAAAAATTTACCAAGGATGGAAAATGAATAAGGAAAAATGCTGGGCAAAAGGAACAACATGTGAGCATGGATTTTGTCCTGACATTTTGTGTCAATATTATGACTAAGAAAGTACTTGAATTGTAACGGTGCATGATTGTAGGTGTAGAAATAGATAGGCATGGATCACATAGAATATATATTATGATTCATATATATGCCTACATAATAACTGGTTAATTCTGATTAGTACTTTGTTCTTGTATAATTTGTCCTTGTGGTGTCCAAAATGTAAGAACAAAAGTACATCGTGGACATCTGCTTTTTCAAGATGTCACAGCTCTACCGCTCATCATTGTGCTCTGATTAAACCCGGCTATTTCCAATTCCCTCAAGCACAGCTGTCTCAGGGAAGACGGTCTTCTCCAAACCTGACTCATGACATTTTAAGTTGACTCGGCGATCGCTATCATTTCCCCCACTTGTGCCCGAGTCCTGACTCTGCCCTGGGAATAGGTCTGGGAAAGATTCCGCATGATCTGCTTGAGGAAAGCCCTCCAGGACCCTGATGGTAACTGGCCATACCTGTACTTTTCCTGTCTAAGTAACCGTAGGAAAGGGCCAGTACAGGAAGATATCTAAAAAATAATTTTGCTCTATATCATATATACAGGAAGTATATAAATGAATTACATCACAATTTATCTACAGAATAAAACAAATGAAATATGTGCAAAATGATGTACCTACAGAAATGCTAGGTCCTGAGGGAGTGCAAATGACTTGCATTCCCCAGTAACCTAAAGGTTAACAATTCAACCTACGCAGCAGTAGGCAATCAGCATGAACAATCGCTTAAAAATAATATGATACAGGCTTGGGAGAAGCATTGATTCCAAAATTCATTCATAATCTTCATAGAGTCTATATAATAAAAGCGAGGTATTTTTTGTAAGCCCTTGTATAGATTTTAACTCCTTATTACATTCAAAGAAATTGCAGCTAAGAAAGGATAAACAATGTACACAAAGCTATGGTGGTGCTATCAGGTAAGTATTGGACCACTAACCTCGAGGTCAGCAGTTCATATCTTTCATACATTCTATGGAGTAAAATTAAATTTAAAAATTTTAAATTTTTAAAATTTAAAAATTAATAGCCTCAGAAATTCTATTTAAATGTGATAGGCTGTTTTTTTGTCAATTGGCCAGCATAGAGTATTCAATGGTTTGGCAATAACAACTTATGAATAGGTGCAGGTTCTAAACCGGTACTGTCTCTTTGAGAGGGTTGGCTATTTGATATATATATATATATATATATATTTTTTTTTTTTTTTAAGTATTGCAGAAAATTGGCCCCTCTCTCCTTCTTGCTGGTCTGGATACTGAGTCTGATCTCTTGGGATTCAACCTGTGATATCCTGTAAGGTATCCATACCCTGCCAGAATACCTGATCTACTGACCCAAATCTGCTTCCACAGCCCCAGGCAGGCATGGAAATCAGGATGTAATATCTAACAACCTAGATCTTATCACTTCTACAATTGTATAAGCCCTTTTGCTTGATAGTACTTTCTCTCTGTGTGTGTGTGTGTGTGTGTGTGTGTGTGTGCCTGCTTTACTTCTGTAGAGATCCCCACCAAACACAATAGGGTTTCTATGATTATAGCCAGAATTCTCCTTAGAAGTGAGGATGGTGAGATTTCTTCGCATTTAAGGACACATTATCAGGAGAGGCCAGGCCCTGGAAAAGGCATCATGTTTGGGTAAAGTACAAAGGCTGTAGAAAAAGAAGAAGATCGTGTATGAAATGGCTTGACATAGTGGCTGCCACAATGGACTCAAACATAACAATTGTGAAGAAAGAACAGGGTGAGGCAGAATTTTGTTCAGCTGACACACAGTTTCTGCTACTGTAAGGGTGTCTTCTGGGACTTCTTATTATCGGTAACTCTTCTAGAGTCAGCTCTGAACCTTAGCAACGCCATGCACAAAAGGACCAAATCCCGCATGGTCCTGTGCCATCCTCACAATTGTTCTTATGCCTAAGCCCATTGATGCACCCACTGTGTCAATCCATCTCGTCGAGGGCCTTGCTTTCCTTAACTGCCCCTACACTCCACCAAGCACAATGTCCCTCTCCAGGGACGGACCTTTCCTGAAAATATGTTCAAAGTATGTAAGACAAAATCCTACCATCCTTGCTTCTAAGGAGCACTGCAATCTTACTTCTTCCGACAGAGATCTACTTCTCCTTTGAGCAGCCCATGGTACTTTCAATATTCATCTGCAGCACCACAATTCAATGCATCTTTTCTTCTAAGGTTCCTTATTCAATGTCCAACTTCCACAAGCATATGAAGAAATGGAGAATCCCATGGCTTGTGG